TTCTGTATTAAGGACAGATGATACGTTCCTCAGTAATATGTATTTTTACCCAAGATTTTGTCATGGAAGCATTGCTACTTTAATATATTTAATCACAAAAGGATGAGGTATCATTCCATTCATTTGTGCAAGATAGTAATTGATAGTGTACATGTATCTTAAACAACCCTTTCAAGGGATATATTTAATTTCCCAAAATCATTATTTTAATGTTTCAACTTTTGAAGACGAGAAACTGATTTTGAAATCAGAATGTAATTAAAGTGTTGAATATTTTTCAAACATCACAAAAATATATAATACAGCTATTTGAGGAACGTATTGTCCGACCTTTACAGTTTTTGTAATTCATGAGTTATCTGTTATGTCTGAAGATGAATAAAGCAACAATAATTGTTTAATATACGTGTAGTTTATTTGCCCACCTCTTTATATAATTTTCACAAAGTTTAATACGACAAACAGAAGACATTATGTATCAAGAACAACAGAAGATCTATATTACCATAAATTAGCATTTCATTGTATTTGACGTAATGAGAGACTCATCATGAAATCAACCTAGGGTCACAAAAAAAATTTAAGGTTAAATATCCCATTATATTTCGATTTGCTTCTTCTGTGATAGCGCTTTGAAAGGTAGGTAAGAAAATTTCTTGATAATTGCTAAGTTTGTATTAAAGTTTCGTTCGACTCAAATAGATGTTGAAATGAAAACAACTATAATTATACACACCATTCTTTGAATGTCCAATAACTGTACCAGGGCCATGATTTTCCTGATCTGACCTATGCCAGTCCGATCCTCGTTTAACTCTTGTCCCTATGTTTGGTAGGCAAGGGTCTCTCTCAACAAGTTTAATATTTGCCTCATCCTCGTCGTTTGAATCAGAGGGATCGTCGGTATAAAATGATCTTGTGGTATAGATATCCAATATATCGTCCTGGTATGAGAAGGATATGGAAATAACGAACAGTATTCAATATAATATGATCAAATATATAAGTACATGTGAGTGCTAGAGTCAAAAGATACCTATCCAGATTTATTTATACAAAATATAGAAAACTGTATACTTGAATCAAATAACTACATTATCTACCTTGTCCTCTTTCTGAAAATATCGTCTCGGGAAAACTACATTGTAATAATGAGTTGAGGGTTTGTCTGTAATCCCGTCTAAGTTTTGTTCGGCTGATAAAATTGCCAAGACTTTCTGTACAAAATAGAATTAGCACACTGTTTCAATTTAGTCCTGTATGTCTTCAATTTTTATTCAATTAAAGGATTGCAATTCCTTCAATTTTAATCAATTCAAAACATCACAATTATTGAAGACCTATATTTTTCGAACACCGTCCTTTATTATATATTTGAATGTGAAGAATACACACACCAGATTTTGAGTGAATCTTGCAATCTGTTTAACTTCATGTGGATGAATGATCCTTCCTCCTTTTGAACTTAAATATTTCAGATATGCCTATAAGTATAATACAAACAGCTATTGAATTTAAAATTGTTTTTATTAAGATAACATTTAGTCAATGTAATTAATAAATTTAAAGTTACCACATCTGGATTTTCCCCTACAGGTATGCAGAATATTGGATGCTCCCTCCCTAGATGTTTCACCACATACTGAAGATGATCCTTTGCCTAGGATGTAGACAAACCTTTAAACCTCAAAGCCATCAAGATTGAAAATAGAAGGAGCTTGTTTTGATATGTCTCTTTGCATTGTTTCTTTGTCTGTTTCCAATTTTAATTTTGTTAGTCCATACTGAGTAAAGTAAGGTTATGACAAGAGGTTTGTGGAGTCGGATATGTTGTTTTTTTTAAGTATTTTCGTTGAAAATTGAAATTTTATGCACATTTTTATCTTCTACCTGTATGGTTTCTTTCAAGGGCGAATCCTCATCATCAGAAAATGTATTGAAGTCTGTTGGTCTACCATCAGATATCAGGATTATTCGTGCTCGAATTTTGATATCACATATCCCGTTTGAAAAGCCTTTGAAAGTAAAAGTATCATATCAACCAAAACAAGATAGATAAAAAATGGATACATTCCGGTAATTTGAATATCCTTACCTCTTCCAACTTCATGGGCGCCCATACTTAATAAAAACGCCCCTGTAAGTGGAGAGAGTCCTCCATATTCTAATGCATCTTCAAAAAATGAAATATGATGAAAATTAGATTTCTATATAAAAAATGGTGCAACAAATCTTTTTAAATGTATTAGAAGTTACTTTGCAATACAAATACGTTTACCTAAACAGCCTTTAATCTCAGAGTAACGATTTGAATAATAATGTTGAAATTTCGTGATTTTTCCACAAACAATAACAGCGATGTTCTCATCTTCCTGTGGATGGTTGGCAAACTCTGATAATGATAATTGTTATATACGATTAATATTTAAAACACAATGCGAGAAATATTGTTTTACCATAAGGTGTGTAGATCACCATTAAAAAGTTGCATACTGTCGATGTAATGTTACCACATCGGATCAATCCTCAAATCTTATGTCCATTTTTATTTAGTTTCATTTTCTTTTGTATAACGTACTGCATTTCCTGTAGTCTGCTCGAGGTCCATGCATACACACATTTATAAGGTGAGTTAACCATGCATCGGACACAAACCTTGTTCAGACAACTTTAGGCAATAAACTCTCTTTGAACTTGAGAGTCTCATGTATTTATTTGTTTCTGTCTTGAAGCTGAAGTTTAAATTTTTTTTAATGATGCCGATAATTTTTATGTTGTGATAAAAAACCCGAGAATGGCCTTGAAATTACGTCATATTTTACATCATCAAAGGGGAATAACCATAAATATATGATTTCGCAATTTTACTTTAGAGTTATACTTCTTTAAATTCGACTTCCGAGTTCCGAGTAGGACTTTGTGAATTTTATCGGTGATTGGCAATTTTGCACAAATTTTGAAGAAATTTTACTTCAACGCTTGTATTATTCTTATTAGAGCTGGTTTCTACAAGTATGAACATTTCACCGTACATTGAACACAAATTAACCATGTTTCGGACACTTTCTGATGCATAGACCATTACTACTATTTTCATACAGAACCCAACTGACAGCTGTTTTTTGTGGAAATAGAAAATAAAATATCTAAATTTTCAGTACAAGTTATCAATATATGACGTCTAGAATCTGACTCAATTTATTTCTACAAACCAGAGCATGATAACCCATGAAAAAAGGCGCGAATGACCGCATTCCATGCATTTTAAAGCATTTTAAAGCATTTCTAAAGCAAAGTGAAGCATCTTGAATCGTTCTACATTTGTGCAACGATATCGCCAATTAAATTTCAGTTAAGGGTTATTTCTTAAATAAAAGGTAAAAGTATATTCATATCAAGGACTTTAAAGCACAGCAATAAAGTTAAGATATTTTTCCAGTGCAAATACCGTCTGTCCAATGCATGGTAAACAATGTCCGATCCATGGTGAATTCGAGGTTATTTTTAAAACATCGATTTTTGATAATATTTTCTCAATTAAAAGCATATAATTGTGTCCAAAATTTATATTTTAATCACATAATCAATGTTTAGATTCATTTTGATAATTTTCCGTCGATAGGGAAATCGCTTGAACTTGTCAAGTTACAAGGGTGTCCGATGCATGGTGAATTCACCCTATATTTTTTTCTATCAACAAAACACTTCTAATTATACGTAGCGGCAACCATTCAAGTTTCATAACTGAAATTGTCTAAATATTAGATTATTTTGTTAATATTTTAGTATGTAAATGTTTTATTGTGGAAATGATCAGTATTTTTGTTTATGCTGTTCTTGCAACCCGTAGTTGAAACTATTTTTAGATTTAAAATCAAAATAGCTGTTAGAAAGTCAGTTTAATGTTGAACGTAGCAAAATAACGTGTGATAACTGAGCAAAAGAAGTTGAAAATGTAGTGTTTTACCTTTGATGGTTATTTGAATTTACAGTAGAATCTTAGATCTAAGTTTTGAGTGTCAGGAATAATTGTTAATGTTTACTTGTAAAAATATATGTTTCTTGGAATTTTTTTCTCGGAATAAAGCTGTGAACCTACATGAATTATTTTGTATTTTTATTTTGTGTAGCTGAACAGAGTGCCTTACAAAAGAACAATGTATGAAATCTGCCCCAGACCGTTGAATTTTGAATACAAAACTGAATTTTTATGAACCTTTGAGGCATTATGTCAACTGATATAAAACAGTCGATTTATGATTGTCTGGAGTTGACGTTAATAAGCTAAATCCAGTTAACCCCCCCCCCCTCCTGCTAAAACAGTGAACATGGAATTTAGTACAAAGTACTACTATTTCAAACGCGTTTGTTTTTTTTTTTAAATTGGATAGAAGATATATCTGTATTCCCAAAAGTTTGTTTAATAAATTAATAAAGAATATTCATAAAATAAGTAAATAAATAAGAAATTAATTTTTTTAAATTAATTTAATGTTTCTAATGTTTTCTTACCGGAAATGATTGTAGAAAATATATCCTTTATTTGACTGAAGCCCTCTTCGCCAATACTTTTAGAAGTATCCAATATAAAAACATTGTAAGGCCCATGTCCTTGCTGATACCGAAGCTCAAAGTCTTAAAAATAAATACAATTCAATCTTTTCGATATGTATAATGCTGATAAATAAAAGTAAGGATATTTCTTTAAGGGACACCGACCTTCAGCCAGGAAGGACAACTTTGAACTTCCCAGAAAGGTCTAATTAAAGAAGAAATTTTTATCCCGTAATGGCATTTTTAGATACCAATGTTTATTAACATAATATGAAATTAGAAGTGATTTTTGGAGCTTTGCAAAGAACCCTGAAGCACATTGAGAGGCATATAATGCAAATTGTAGCATGAAAATATTTAATTTACAAGCTTCATTAAAGATTCGTTAAATTAAATTATAAATTAAAGAGTTGTCCTTCCTGGCTGAGGGTCGAATTCCCTTAAGAATGATATTGTCTTCGAACACACGTTTTGCGTAATATGCAAAATATATATTTCTTCACATAAACAGGTTTCATTCATGAAAATAACACATATGACCGTAGAAAGACAAAGGTTATTAGCACTTCTGTGTTGTATTTTCAACTTATTTGTACAATATATAAATTTGGTTTCAAGATGGTAACATGTAATTCACTTTAGTTTGACAAAATGGTTTCATGCCCAAGAAAACAAACAATAATCAGACCCATTAAAATGCTATTTCATATATTTTTCATCTCTTGAAGTTATCTCAGCCATTGTTCAATATAATTAAAATCTCTCAGCTATTGTTCGACATAAATAAAATGTTATCAATGACAACTTACTCTTTGAAGCCTCAATTCTAGCTTGGTTTCTCCAAAACATTTCAGCATCCCTGATGTCAATATCCATATCTTTATTTCTAGTTCATGTACGTATCCCTTTTCTCATCAAGTATTTTGCTGTGTTAAATTCATTGCTGTATTGGGCATTATACCTTAATTGGTGTAGAAGTGCGATGAGCCTTAGTCTTAATTTAACATCCTAATAGTGCTTTGAAATTTCCGTTTCGAAGAATAAAACTGGTTGTTATGGAAAAACAATTGTACATCAACACAACTCCTGTTTCTATAAATATTTTACATTTGAATGATATATTTCTAAATAAATATTGACCCCCTAAATTACATAGTATCATAAAATAGAATGATTAATGTAATAAAGAACAACTGGACATGCTTATGACCAGATGACTAATACAATCCACTCCTGAATTTTTCAGAAGAGACACCTAAATCATAAATACATGTACCTTGTGCTCCTTTCAAAAAGAAAAAAAGAAACAAAGATGTTGGTTTAGCAGACGAACAATAGCACAGATCCTTGTATTTATAACTTTATAATTTTGAATTGAATGAATGTGAATTATGCAAAACCTTGCCAAGAAATGTTGAAAGTTGTCCACAGCATGATATAATATACAACACACTTCCTTAACATTATTATTCTGAAATCATATTCAATAAAAATAAGGAATAACGATGGATATTTGGACATTGATATTATTGGAAAAATGCTAAGGCTGTTAATGTTAAATTGTAGAGTGTGGGAAATAATATATCGTATTCCTCTCATAGAGGTTTTAGAATTTAGTCTGGACATGCACGGATTGAGGAAGATTAGAAACCATTGGCTAATCGAATAACTTATTTGACTTTTGTTCATATGGATTCTATTGTCCCGATCATATAAAAATATTTTTCGTGCTAGGGACCATTCATTGTTTATTTTTAGAGGAACCATCTCATAGAAAAATGCTTGGTTTGCAATTAAACATAACTTAAGTTACAATGTTAACATTATTTGAACTAAAGACAAAAATTATTTCACAATTCACAATTCATTGACATAAATGCACAAAAATTGATTGTAATAATCAATTTAATCAAAAGTATATGCTTGGGTTGATCAAAAGTACTCAGAGGTTTTTTAACATTTTCTTTGAAATTCGTTAGTAAAGTTTTGAATCTCGTATCGTTCACTAATGCTAACTTTACTTAATTAGTCCTTTTCTTTCCTTGTGGAGCACAGGGTTACTACAGTCACTTTACCATGGTTTAAGCTATTATTTATGATTCATTCCAAGTCTTTTCAATGTTTTAAATCTCTTTCAAACTTCACATTCTCTGTGTAATGGTTTCCCATTTTTTCTTTGAGCTTGTGGATTCCAGTCCAATGCCCCTCTAATGTATCTTATAAAGGGTGTACCGTGTATGACCTATCCATTACCATACCCGTTTCTTGATCTGGAGGACAAGGTCATCCGCAAAATCACTGTTGACAGTGCCAAATTTTCAAAATAGATAAAATTAATGATCAGATATGATTGCCATTCAAGAGATAGTTCCTGTTCTCAAAACGCAGTTAGGTCAATGCAGCTTCTGTTGGATCTAATGTATGTCTGTTCATGCATCCCATAGACCTTTACTCAAACCATCTTTCATCCTGTTCGGTGTTACTCTACATACGATCTTGCTAGCTACTGGCAGCAGGGTAATGCCTCTTCAGATTTCACGGCAGTTAAGTTTTCCCTGTTTTTTGCAGTTTAACTATTAACAGTAACCCTTTCTTCCATTCTGCTGGTATTCTTTCATCTTTCCAAAATTTTATTTAAAAGTTTAAACAGGCAATCACATCATTTATTCTTTTTCTTCCACATTTCAACACATTAGGTGGTATACCATCCACTCCAGTCGCTTTATCATTCTTCATTGATTAAAAGTGTAAATATTCACTCCATCTTTTCATTGGTTCATTTAATTTCGTGATAAAAATTGCAGACACTGATCACTAGTAAGCTCACATTATTTCTAGATCTGTACCTAAAATTCAAATATACAACTGTCTACATGATCTTGTTTGGAAAAAGAAATGAAAGGCAATCAATTACTGCATGAACTTCTGTCCAATTCTCCTTCATTCGTTAATATTGATATAGAAATATGTTCTGTTTCAGGTACAGGGTAGTAATGACCAAAGGTTTACAAATAAACTTAACAAGAAGAGAAGTTTCCGATGCGAAAAGTGTGAAAAATACCAAATGATCATGACAAAAAGTATATATAGATCTGAAAATTTTTGAGTCATAACTATGCGAAGAATTCTAAGATAACAATGTATGACTAGCTCAATATACTCATCGTTAAAATGGTAGGTCCTGTCTGAAGGAGAATTGGTTTCTCGATCATGCACCAATTTTAATAATTTTTTTTCAATGCATTTTTACGCAACCAAAAACATTAGAAACATACGCAACCATCCTTATTATTCATGGAATTATATTTCAAAGCTTAGCATACTTAATACCTACGTGTTCTCCTTAACTGTAACAATGACAGTGGAATTAAGATTTCGTTTGTGACTGATTTTGATTTTATCGTTCATTTTTCTTGGATTTGGATTCCAATAACCTTGTTAATCTTTCCAAAACCACTGATCTACGGCTGTAAAAACCGTTGAATTTGATAATCCATCAACCTCTATATCTGATGATTCGTCCTCAACCTTGTCGTTTTTTGAAATACTTTCCTTGAGAAATTGTCAAGAGAGGTACATTAGCTGAAGGTTTTTCATGACCTTTTCCAGCCTGTAAGTCAAGATAGTTTCCAGATTCAGTCACTGCATAGAAAAAAAATAAAAAAAAAAAATGCTTTATTCATGGATCATTTTTTGTTGTTTGTTTGAAATAAGATCTCGGACTGAGTAGCGTACCTTTAAAAGGTGAACTTTCAGAAAGATTAACAAATGGATCGTTTACAGGGCAATTACGAGCTGCTTTCCTGATTTGATCTTGGAGATACTCAATTGATTTGCTGAAAATGGATCGCTGCAGGTATAAATAAACATTTGATAATATGTTGCTCTAGGATCTCCAAATAAGTTTTATTGTGTATATATAATGTCAGTATTTATAAATCCGTTACAAAATAAAAATACAGAAAAATATTTTAAGCACCTTTATAGTATAATTGAAAAGACCTTTATGTACATATGCATAAGCAGAATATTGTAGACATTGAAAACGATAATTACCATATCTGTAGATCATATTTTCCATTATGCCCAAACCTGTTTTCTGTAGTTCGGCCGTTTGGCCATCGCACCTGTAAGAGAAGATTTTTTTTAATGTGTTTGTGTTGCTAAGTATTGAGTACACCATTTTTTATCAATTATTACTATACCTTTTCATTATTTACAAATTAGCTGTCGGAGAAAAATATGCAATCATATATACACCGGTATCCGTATCCTAGAGGTAGAGCGCTGGCTTTGTGATTAGGAGGTCTGGGTTTGATTCTCGTTTGCGGCGTCGCGTCAAACTTAAGACGTTAACATGATTATAGGTAGTAACTGTTCCTTCTCCAAGCGCTCGGCATTAGAAGTGAAAGTCACTTTTTTTAACATGACCTTAAAAACGTAGGTCCAGTGTCAAGGTAGGCGCTGGCACGATAAGGAAGTCTTACTGTTTAATGGCCCTGAGTGCCGAGTATAGGTCTAAATTTGAAGTTCTTCACCACCATACGGCGACATCTCTATATGAGTGAAAAATTCTCGAATGGGGCATTGAACAATATACAATCAATCAACCTTGTACAGACATTTCTTTATCCAGTTAATAAAAGTAAACAAAAACAAACGTCATCATTGATTACGTACAAAGACAGTTCCATTTCGATTCACTCTGTAAACGGATCCAATACTTCCAGTACCGCCGTCCTGATCTCCCCATTTCCAGTCAGGGTCTATACATAGATCAATATCCACATATAAAATTTTGTAATTTTTTTCCAATTTGTGTTTTAACATTAAATAGTTATCAACATGTAGGACGGGTTTTACCTCTTTTGACCATACAGCCCGTTGCAATAGTCTCATTTTCTAAAATTCTGGGTTCGTTACAGACTTGAACGTCGTATTTATTCCTTTCCTCTATGGTAGATCCATATCTGTAGCCATATGTCTCACCAGCATCCCACTTTACGTTTAACCACCCACCTGTTTAGAAAAATCGTTCATGCCAAAAAAACTTTTTTCCCGAGATTTTTATGACTTTCCAAATTTATACATAAGAAATTTTAAATATAAATGACCAGTTATCAATCAATGATTTAAGAATTTAAATGTCTGTTGCAACTACTTGGAGAATCTAATGTTTTAAATCCAGAAATTCAGAGAAAAAAAAAGATAAATATGAAAATAATCAAAGATATTAAAACAGAAGAAAACTAAAAAGGCGTGAGTCTTTGCTTATCCGCACAGCAATTATTTTTCTAAGCACAGCAATTAACAGTTTTTTAGATACACTTTAAGGCCAAAAATACAGGCAAGTGCAATGAAAGGTTGAGGCAACTACATTGTCTCCTATTAATACAGTCATTTAAGCCAACACTTTTAAATTCAAATATGGAGTGACTTTTTCCAATTGAATATTAATATGGCATCAAAGAACATAATGAATTGCAAAAAACATAAAATTGTTTATATGTGAATCCAGTTCGCTTATTAATATACTAGTACATGTGATATTGCATTAAAAAATTCACAACTTTCAACCATGACTATTGGACATATTCCGACTTAATTATTTTTTTTTACCAAAAGGTATAAAACGAAAATGTAATTGAAGTGTTCCAACCTTCCTTTATATGCCCGATAACAGTCCCAGGACCATTGCTATCCTGAAAATTCCACTTCCAGCAGTCCCTTCCACGTTTGACTCGTGACCCTAAAGGAGGCATCCGAGGATCTCTCTCTTGAAATACATCATCCATTTCATCGACAACTTCTGCCCTCACAGAACCCCCCGAATTATATAATGTCTTCTTGGAGCAAATTTCAAATATATCCTCCTAAAAATTATAAAAACGTATGAAAACTTAGGAATACTAGAGCGGAGTTCTCAATAAATTGATCAAAACTTTTTAAAACGAATTTCACGATTAAATGTGTAAAAATAAAGGTGCTGGATTCATAAAACATATTACCTGATCTCTTTCTGAGAACTCTTTATCAGGAAATTTACATGCCAGTAACATAAGAATTATCGTGGTCATACCCTTCATTTTTCATCGTAAAGGATAACATGGATGCAGTTCTCTTTGAAAAGAAATATGT